AACACGGCACAGGGCTAACTCTTCTGCAAAGCTCACGGGGAGGACCTCAGGGGGCCACTTAAAGCCCAGGGGACGCCTGGTCTGTGCCTGTCCTGGCTGGAGGGTGTGCAGAGTCCAAAGTCTACTGGTGCGGAAGAACTATGCCCTTTGGAGAGGGAGAGGGGAGGAAGAAGCCCAAGAAGTACTGGATGGAGAATAAGGAGATGTGAATTCCCATGGGTCACAGGAAGTCTTGTGACCCTGGGCAAGTCCCTACATTTGCACCATTTTTAGGAGCGTGCATTGAGTGTATACCTATGGGATGGGCTTTTTCCCCCCTCAGTGTGCAAAACAAGTTTAATAAAAAGAGAAAAACTGCCCAGACACTGCTGTCAAGGAGACAAGGTGTTGTGGTCGCCAGGATTCTAGAAGGAGCATTCACAAAGGCAGGAGGGGTCCGGTGCTCCCCTTTCCCCCCTCCCAGGCACCCAGCCAAGGACTCCGGATTCTGTGGCCCTAATGGCTCCTTCTGGGTCCAGCCCTCCACAGCCCTCCTGTCAGAGCCGGCTCCCCGCGGGCCTGCGTCCCCTCTCTTCCCGCCACCCCCTTAGCACACTGCATGCCTGGGGCTCACAGCCCCAGTGACTGGTGGGCACTGCCTGGGGGTCCAGGGCCTGGCCCCTTAAAGCAGCATCCGCAAACCCACAACCTAGATTCCCACGGCGGTTGCTGCTGGCATCAAACCTCCCCCTAGCAGGGGCTTCCCTGCACACAGACAGGACTGTCACCTGCAGCTAGGGGGTCACCGGTGGGCGGGACACCGTCAGAATCAGAGCGCGTAGTTCACGGCCTGGGAAGTGACCCTGTGCCCTTAGTCTGCCGCCAGCCTTCACTGCCCCAGCCATAGCTTGGCTGAATATGCCGGCCATTCTCTCACTATCCCGGGTACCGCGGAGACAGATGACAGCACGGCACCCCCAACGCGCCCTCCGGGGGCCCTGGAGCTGTCTGGAACCGCGCGATCCGCTCCATCACACCAAAACCGTGCGCTGTCCTACCAAGTCCCCTCCGGGGGCGGACTCCTTTCTCATCAAGCCGCGTGGGTGCGTCCTTCGGCTCAGGGAACGCCAGGGGGCGCGGGTCCCCCAGGCGGCAGGGGCTGTGCCTGCGCTCCACCGCCCAGGTCAGCTTAGACCCGAGCAGCCGCCGCGGGGCCCGGCCGAGCTCAGCCTGGGAAGCCGCTCGCGGCCAGGGCCGGGGCGGGGGAGACGGAGGCGCTGCGCGCGGAGGCCGATGTGATCCCGGGAGTTTTATTGTGCACTTTCTATCATGGACCGCTAGGCTAGGTTACACGTCCCATGTCCTTACAGGCAACTGTCACTCATGGTGTTTCTAGCATGTCTACACCACAAATTCTTGACCTGTCGTGTGTAGACCCCGTTTGTGCAAAATGTAGGCATCGTAAGAAAGGCCCTTAGAGGGCCTCTGGATGGAAGTAAAATCTGCAGCGAAGCCCGCTGGCTGGTGAAAACCTCACCTTATTTATTCGGAATGGAGGCATTCCTTTAGTCAGAACCCGGACCCTGGGGGTGGGGCCCGGTGCCACTCCCTGAAATGCTGAGATGATACAGGTTATCCCAGATGACTAAGCACCCAATTTTGAGCCACATGGAGTTCACAACTAGCTTAAAACTTTGGGGACAGTTCAAATACTAAGAGTAGAAAGAAGGGCCAGTTTGGTGGTGCAGTGCGTTAAGCTGCCGGCTGCTGAGCTGAGTCCTGGCTGCTCCACTTCCCATCCAGCTCCCTCTGATGCGCCTGGGAAGTAAGTGGGGGAAGACGGAGCAAGTGCTTGGGGCTCCCTGCCACCCACATGGGAGGCGCAGATGGAGTTCCAGGCTCCTGGCTTCTGCCTGGCCTAGCCCTGGCCCCTGTGGTTATCTGAGGAGTGAATCGCCAATGGAACGACCTCTCTTCCTGTAACTCTGCCTTTCAAATAAATAAGTAAACCTTAAGAAAAAGAGTGGGAAAAAAGGAGAAGAAGTAGACACTCCGGGCCCATCCTTTCCTACCTTGCTCTTTTTCATGGTTGGAGGCCTAACCTCTACCCTGGCTCTGCCGCTTAGTAGCTGTGGGGTTTTGCAAAGCTTAATCCTCCTGAAGTTGTCTCAGGCCTAAAATGAGGTGGTGGCATTAGATTAGAATAACTCTAAGTCCTCCTTAAGGGTCCATGAAAAAAAATCAGGTGAAGTCTTAAATGTTGCACGCGTGTGAAGCAGCTGTGAAATGAGGGTGCTGGGGGCAGCTAAAGGTAAGGGGCTCCGCCCCTCACTGTGCTCACCATATGGTTTGTCTTCTGGAGGTTCATGAGCTGGGAGTCTGGTTCCCAAAGTTATGGTGTTAGACAGCTGATGGGAACTCTAAAGGGTGGGCCTAGAGGCAGGTAACAGGGCCACGACCGCCCGTGGGGAGGCATCAGCCTGGTCTAGAGGAGCAGGTTAGTTCTCAGGGTGAGCCTGGCCCCTCCCTTGCCTCTTCCTCGATCACCTGACCTCTCCTTTCGCACACGTCTGCCATGCTGTGTGCACTTCCCAGCCACCAGCATCTTGAGCCCAACACACCTCTTCTCTTTATCTACCAGCCAGCACCAGGGGCTCCGGACCAGCCACACAGAATGGCTGAGCCATCTGCAACCTCTGTGGACGGAGCCGTCGTCACTCTCCAGGGAGCATCTGAATTGCATGCCAATAACTCTTTCCTCTTGCCATAATTTCTGTTGAAAGACTCTTGTCTTGCTTGATACAGGGTTGGGAGATTGTTTTTATTTTCTCTGAAAAGCAACTAAACCTTGTTGCTAGGCCTGCCTGGTGAGGATCTGCAAATGAGCAGGACTGCTGACCCCTGCCAGGGAAGACAGAGACCAAAGGGAGGAGTCTTGAGTTTCAGGGACCTCAAGTTGTTGCATTGATTGACTTCACACCCCCGTTTGCTTCCCCGAGGAATATCAACCCTGTCTGATATTCCGAGACAAAGACCCGCTGCCCTCATTTTACAGATGAGAAAATTGAGGCTCATATTTTTTCTTTTTTAAACCACATGCTGCACCATGACATAGTGACAAGAGCCAGAACTGAAATCCGGCTCTCCTTAGCGCCCCACAAAAGAACAGAACAGTCATCAAAAAGTCAGTTTCTCAATCTTTGTGGAAGAAGCACGCTCAGTGGATTGTGTGTGCATGTAAGTGTGTGCATGTGAGTGTGTGTGCATGTGAGTGGGATTGTGTGTGAGTATGTGTGCATGTCAGTGTGTGTGTGCATGTGCATGTGTGTGTGTGTGTAAGAGTGTGTGAAATTTCTGCTTCATTGCAAATAAGACTCGTGGTGCTTTCCTCAGTGGGAGCCGAGTGGGAAGGCTGGGGCTGGAGTTCAGCAGCCTGAATCGGAGCCCACCTTCCTGCCTAGGGAGCCACTCTGCCAGACAGCCAGTGGGACATCCCAGGGCGGGGTGGTTGAGGAAACCCACCAGACAATGAAAGTGGAAGGGACTGTGCCAAGAAATACTTCACTCTTCCAAAATGCAAGCCCCGTGGGAAAAAGCGTAAAACCAGAATGGAGACAGTGGTGGGACGAGCAAGGCATTCTTGTCCCCATTATCTGGCTGCAAATGAAAATGAGCGTCAGTTGTCCCGTGAATTGTCGCCCCCGGCTAAGCATCACGGGGTGCTCTTGGCAACTGACCTCTCCTGCAGGCTGGGGCTGCCCAGCTTTGTGGTTTCAGCAGAGACCTTGCACAGACAGCAGCTCTCCCCTTGTTCAGTGTTTCTGAGGTCAGAAGCCTTCCTGGGAGTTGCAGGGGACCCACGGAAGGCACTGGTTCAGGGGGGCTTTCTCTCATCTTCGGGGCAGGCCTGCACTTTGGAGGGAGATTTTTCTCTGGCTGGAAGGTGCATTCTGCAATATGGAGTTGAACGGCCAGCCCAGCAGGTGTGAGGTCCTCCACGGGTGTGGGAGGGGAGGAGCTGAGAAGAAGTGAGCTAGGATGGCAAAGGGCTGGGCCTGAACGGTCCCTCTGAGCCAGGTGCCACGATGTTCAACACCACCTCTTGTCACCAGGAGACCAGCCACTCACTCGACCACTGCCTACAGACACCTCCGCTCAGCCAGCGCCCAGTCGGGTAAGACGGTGCCAGGTTATGCCCGTCACTCCCACATTGTCTCCAAAAGCAAGCAACGGACTGTCCCTTTTATACAGAAGCAGAATGCCATCGAAGTCCAGACTGTGGGCTCTGCCTTTCCTAGATGTCTGGCTGATAGCAGGCAGGGGTTTTCCTTATGTGTCAGCTTCCTCTGCAGGGGTGAGTGAACCTCAGCGAATTAACAGACGTACAGCACAGCACCTGGCGCCTGGGGAGAGCTCAACAAATGTCAGCTGTGATTGTTTTCCCTATTGTCTAGTTACACACAGAAGTCCTGTATTCTTCTGATAAACATACATGGAAATGTCATTCTGAGTGGACGTTTGGCCTAGCAGTAAGCTGCAGGTTGGGACACCCACATCCCATTGTGGGTTCCTAGGTTCGAGTACTGACTCCACTTCCGGTTCCAGCTTTGTGCTAATGCAGATTCTGGGAGGCAGCAGATGGCAGCTCAAATAGTTGGGTCTCTGCTGCCCATGTGGGAGCCCCGGGCTGAGAAGGCAGCTTCCAGCTCCAGCCTGGCCCAGCCTCAGGCCCTGTAGGCATTTGTGCAGTGAGTCAGCAAAAGGGGGCATTCTATCTTTCTCCCTCCCACCAAAAAAAAAATTAAATTGTCATCTACTGCAGTCTATTTTTTTCAAGTGGCCATGAAAGTTCATGGAGCGAATATCTGGAATCAATGTTTCACCAACTCTGAGCTCAGTGCCCTTCTCACTATACCAAGCACCTCAGTCAAGATGGAGACGCATGCATGTTCTTGAGTGTCACCTTTCGCTCATCGGGTGGGACGGATCGCGTGCTCCCGGGTTCAGAGCACCTTTCTTACCTTCGGGAGCCTGTACTTCTCCCTGAGATGGACACGGAGGCACGCCCTCTCCGCCTTTTTCTGCGTAAATGCTGCGTCTCTTTCCATCCTAGAAGACACAGAATGAAGACTATAAGGGTACAGGCAGCTCAGCACGTCCCAGCCACCGACCACAGGAGCAGCCACCGGGCTCCGCCTGAGTTCCCGAAGCCTGCAGACAGCTGGCAAACCAGAGATGTTTTCTTTCCTGCTTTCCCAAACACCTGGCTTTCTGTCACCTCCGTACATGACAGAACACAGACTTCTAAATCCTAAGGACACCGTGGTCCTGGAAATCTGATGCTGCAGACCTGGCGAGGGGCAGGTGAGTGTTGCTGGAGAGTTGCTGATGGAATGTAGGGCCCGGTGCTGAACGTCGCAGAGCCACCTGGTTAGAATACAGCTCCCGGGCGAGTTTCCAGTCCTGCCCCATCGGAATCCCTGGGGCCGGAAGGGGCAGCTACACTTCCAACAAGCTCCATGAGTGACTTTCATGCAAGCCAGAACAGGGTCTCAGTGACCAGGGCCAGGGGGATCCTTTGTGGGCCCATGGAATTTGGGGGTATGCTACAAACCTGTTTCCCTTCAGTGTCGCCCTCTCCCTACCCCAGTGTAGCCACAGTGTTCCCTCTCTTGTTTGGCAAGAAGTATCCCCAAGGGAGGCCGTGCAGGTGGGGCACTGCTCTGAGGAAGACCTAACCAGATTGCGTTACGCTGGGCTGAAATGGACTCCCTCGCTCATGATTGATGACCCAGACAAAGACAGGCACTTTTGGGGCTGTCTGTAAGCTCACGAGAACCACGGCCCTTCTGAGCTGCACACACAGGTGCGTTATTGGTGGGTAAACCTTTACACGTGGCCCTGTGCTCTGGCCATGTTGAACCAACACGGGGCCAAGCTGAACAAATGAAATCTCTTTGGGAATTTGGACTTGGGACTCAGGCAGCCTGGAAGTGTGGCTGGCACTGTCGCACGTGAACTTGAAGGCCATTTTCTGTCTTTGGCCTTCAGGCACACGGTCTGGGTGGCAGAATGCAAGGGGACAGGCTGGCTGCTGGGATGGAAGTAGTGGCAAGAGTGGGCAAGCGCGCAGCTGGCTTCCTATCGGCCGCTGGTTCTCGGTTGGGTGCTCATGAGGCCTGCTGGGGTTCCTTCTCATGGATTTGTTAAAGCATCTTTGCATGAAACATTGTTTGTGCTTAAAAAAAAAAAGCTTTCATTTTTCAGGTGAAAATAGTTTTCCATTTCCTGATTCCAAGTTTTGAAATAATCTTAAACCTTACACAAAAGACTACCAGGCAGGGCTGCATCGGAAGCAGCAATCAGATTAAACTACTGATCCCTGGGCAGAATACTGTGAAATGATTTCCATCTGCAGGGCTGGAGTAGGGAGGGAGCACTGGGTTCAACCTTCTGGCACTGGAGCGGGAAACAGAACAGAGTGACTTGGTGACTTCTCCGAGACTGGTGACCTGCAGCATGGGAAGGAAGTCCATCTCCCCTGCTAGATTAGTAAACCCTTAACACATTCAGAAAAGTTCAAACAGTTTTACAGTAGAACCCATATCCTCACCATCTAGATTCTACAATTCGCAACTCACTGTGTTGTTGCACGTCTCAACCTCCACCTATCCAATATTTCCATCTTTTTGGCGCAAAGTTGAAGACATCCTTACATTTCCCGATGTCATATGATTGACTAGAGCTATGGACTTGTTTTTGTTTTAGGGTCCTTTTTTTTTTTAAGAAAAAATTGCATTTGATTCAGTGCACAAGCCTTATGTGGAGCCCCTAGATGCACACATCTGTGAAACTCAAGCCCCTATCAAGATATGACACATCAATTTCTCCTGAAAAAATGCCCGCCTTCGCATCACCAGTGAACACCTGCTGTCCCTGGGAGGCAGCCAGCCATCTTTGCCAACCACAATGGTTCAGGTGGTTTGGCCTGGTCTGGAACGTCATCTCATTGGAACCACACACTTCAATTCTTTTGTGTGGAAAGCTTCCTTACTCAGTATAAAAATCTTTTCAGATTCATCCACAGGGTTCTCACTACCAATCATTTCTTCCCTTTTGCTGCTGAGTAGTATTCCAGGGTATGCATGAGCTCAGATAAACCATGGTTTATTCCTGCTCCTGTTGATGCACACCCGAGCCCTTTCCCATCTGGGGCCACGGTGGAGGAATCTCCCATGAGCGTTCCTGGGCAAGTCTCCTCCTACGTGTAGCTTCATTTCTTCTCTGTGAGTATCTGGGCATGGGAGTGCTGAGCTGCGGGGCGATTTTGTTGAGTACGTATGGTTTTACAAGAAACTGCCAGTTCTTTGTCCAAGATGGTTATATTTTCTTACACCACAGGAAACAAGAGGTGTTAGTGGTTTCACATTTTGACCAATATTTGTTATTTTTGGCCTTCTGAATTTTAGTTGCTGTGGTGTTAACTTCTTTGCATTTCTTTAATCATAAAGAAGTTTTCATTGTGTATATCCTGTGAGGTGTTTGTTCAATTCTTTTCTGAATGATTTTTTGCTTTAATGATTGAGTTGTCATTCTTCATATATCCTAGAGCCCATTCCTTTGTGAGATATGTTTGCAAATATTGTCTCAATCAGTGGTTTGCCAAATATTTATCTTCATAAAGGTGCCTTTTGGCACACAAACGGTTACATTCTGATTGCCCTCATTTTAAAATGTTAGGGTTATTGCTTTCTGGGTCTGAAAAAGAAATCTTCACCTACTTCCAGCTTGCAAAAATATCTCTTTTTTCCACCCCTAAAAGCTTTACAATTTTAGCTTTTTATTTAGGCTGATTGTGCGTATCAGATTAAATGTTAGTGCCTAGTGTAAGGCAGAAGTCCAAGTGACTGTTTCCCAGTTATTTCAGCGCCTTTTGTCGAAAAGGTGTTCCTCTGGATTGTATGGGCACCTTGGTTGAAAAATCTGATGACTGCATTAGTTGCACTGAGCCATGCAGAGACCCACTGCTTAGATCCCAGGACTCCAGAGCCAGTCTACGGAGGACTCGGTATCACTGACTGCTCTGGGTCTGCCACCCAGACCCCTTGGTAGACTGAAACTTCCTGCCAAAGAAAACCCGCCTCTTCCATCTCAGTCCCCTTCTCACAGCGCCTGCCCCAAAGAAGGAGTCCAAACATTCAGTGAACAAAGTGAAGTTCGGAGTCAGCTTACACTGGTATTGCAGGGACTCTTGAACCAGGGCCAGAACATAAGGTGAGGGGCATCTCAACGTACCTGAGGGATGAAGAGGTGACTGTGCGATTCCTTCACAAACGTTCTATTTAGGGACAGTCCTCTGTCCATAGAAATGCTCTCAGTAGAGGGGACAGAAATCTGGCCACAGAAGGAAAGTAAATGGATGTGCAGTAGAGGGCCTTGTTAAGTAGCTTTTCAGTTATACTTGGTAGAGTCCCACATTTTTCTAAAGTAACAAGGACAGTTTTAAGAGGCTTTACTTCTGAATATTCATTTTCTATATAATTTATATATAAATATATTTACATATATAAGTGAATATGTTTAATTATACCTCTATATATTTATATGTTTATGTTATATGTACTTCCATATATTTCTGAATATTCACTACATATATATAGCTGTCTCTGCAATGAACTCGTGGTGAGCCATTTTTGACACCTACTTCTGGATGTTGCAGTATTGATGATGAAGCCCTTGAGAACTCAATCAATGAACTGGAAGTCATTCTCTTGCCTCAGGCTGCCCCATTGTCTTGGGACTATCTCTTAAAGCAGGAAAGTTCCAGGGCCTGTGCTGTGGCTTAGCCAGTAAAGCTGCTGCCTGCAGTGTGGGCATCCCATATGGGCGCTGGCTCGAGTCCTGGCTGCTCCACTTCCTATCCAGGCTCTCTGCTATGGCCTGGGAAAGCAATGGAAGATGGTTCAAGTGCTTGGGCCCCTGCACCCACGTGGGAGACCTGGAGGAAGCTCCTGGCTTCGGATTGGTACAGCCTGGCCGCTGTGGCCATCTGGGGAGTGAACCAGCTGATGGAAGACATCTTTTTCTCTCTCTGCCTCTCTGTAACTCTGCCTTTCAAATAAAATAAATACATCTTTAAAAAAAAAGAGAGAGCAAGTTCCTGAATTTACAGTATCCTCACAACCACACAGAAAGCCGAGTAGTTGGCAAATAGCGCTATTGGCTGATCAACCATATACCATTTAGGCATTTTTTTGAGCTTTGATGTGGCCAGATGTAAAAATCAGAGAAAAGCAGAACATTAGATAATCGGACAGAAGCTATATCTGCAACCAGATGGATCACTTGAATGTATTAAATGCTATTTTGCATGCTCAGCTATAGAGACTAAGTCTTTGCCCACTTTTTCATTTTGTTTTTAAGACTTATTCATTTGAAAGGCAGAGTTACAGAGAGAACTTCTGTCTGCTGGTTCACTCCCCAAATGGCCGCAGCAACCTGGGCTGGGCCAGGCCAAAGCTGGGAGCCAAGAACTCTGTCCGGGTCTCCCACGTGGGGGCCGGGGCCCAAGCACTCGGGCCATCTTCCACTGAATATGTACATTAGCAGGGAGCTGGATTGGAGTGGAGCAGCAGGAACTCAAAGCAGCACTCTTCTGCCATGTGGGTGTTGCAAACCCACTCTGACCACCTTTTTGCTACCCCCCTTGAGCTGAACATGCTTTGTGCTGCTGTTGCATTTCTTCCTCATTCTTGCTTTCCTTTTTCAGCTGTGTTTCTCACACAGGCTTGAGAAAAGCCAGCCAGCGGTGCAGGCGGGCTGCTGCTTGCTTTTACCTGGGTAGTCACACAGCATCATTTTTGCAGCTGCATCTACTTTTTAAAAATTGTTGTTGATTTTGACTTTCATCTACCAAGCATAGTACATTCCAGGCAGTTTGTAAGCTATAAGATCTTTCAGAAAAACACACCAGACAAGGTTTCCACTAAATGTTGGCTTTCTATTTCCTTTGTTCCCCCAGCTCATTAACTTTTCCACCTGTAATCATCTTGGCCATAGGACTTAGGCAACTATTGTGTCATTGACCATTAGCAAACTCTGCATGGTGACAAAAAAGAAAAATATTCCTTCTGTAACCTACAATGATATTTAACCTCTGGACTGATGCTTTAATTCTTTGCTGGCTATTAAAAGATGCACAATCAGACAAGGAGGTTGTAGCTGCTGACGCTAGGGAATCTGTCCCCTCAGCAGACTCAACATCCCTGGGGTTGGACGTGAAAGGAAGCTTCTGGGTGGGGGGACAAGCGGGGGCAATGCCGAGGGCGCGGCCGGGGTGCGTGGCTCGCGCCCGGGACGCCGAGCCGCGCGTACTCACTTCTCCTCGATCATTTGCTTTTGGTACTCTTCGTACTCCTCTCTCGTCATCCCGTGAGCTGCAGCAGGCTCGGACGCGCCTCCTTCTTCTTTTTTCTCTTCCGAACCCCCTCCAAATCCCAGGTTCTTTACCTGGTTACTGATCATACTTTTCATGAAGAAAGCCATGGTGTCTGGCCCAGGAAAAACCAAACCCAAACTCAGACAAAACCTGGGAGTCAAAAAAAAAAAAAAAAAAAAAAATCCAACCCTCCAAACCAGCCAGGACAAAACCTGCAAATATTCTCAACGCCCGCAGCCCGTGGGAGAGTGCAGGATTCTGCACCGTCTCCTCTCCTCAAGGGCATGATGACAGCGCGGAGCGCTTTGCCGGTTGTAAGCTGGATTAGCGTGGCGAACTCCTCCGTGCACAGAGGCAGATGGTTCCCATAACCAAACACGCGGCCAGATGCAGCTGGCTGCCCTCTGCCTCCATGCACCAAGCTAATTTCCCAGGCAAAGCAAGCGCTGCTCATGCTGTCCGTCCCTCTCTCGCTACCTGTTTGTCAATTTTAAATTACAAGCACAGCAGGGCTTCATCTGTAGTCCTGTTGCAATTTAGTTAATCAGGGCTGACTGATTTTTAGGGCTGTGGTAGAATTCCCAAATACCAGCCCCTGGGCACAGCATCCTGTTGTTGCAAACTGAGTCCAGAGAGAGAGAGAGAAAACCCAAAGTGCTTCATTACACAACAACAATTCTTTGGCTCCATCATTTTCACTCATTGGATGCTATGGACTGTGTAAGATTTGCTTTGGGGTTGGCTGGGCTTTTGTACTGCTTCACTGGTCGTGTGGCTGGGGCATACACACACACACACACACGCAACTCAGTTGGGGTGAGCCAGCAGGTTGACACTAGAAGATGAGCCTTCTCTCGCGGGCAAGCGTTTCTCTGATAGGTGTCACCCTTCCAGCATTCTGATCCACCAGGCGGGAGTGCCTGTGGGTGGAATCATCCTTACGTAGCGGCTGCTCCTCTCAGTCTGCTTCCTGGGGGCCTGCACAGGCTCACAGGTGAACTTGGAGACACCTTGGCAATGTTCTGTAATGCGGCAGGTTCTCTACAGCTGTGGCTTCCTCTAGGTCAGGGGAGGAGCTGAGTACGGCTAAGACTTTAATCTACGCGAGTATCTTTCTAATTAAAGCACTCCAGGGCTGGGGACGCCATGTAACCTCTTTGTAACCTATGCTTATTATGTTAACCAAGGGCACCAGCCCTCCCAGGAAATAAATCATGATCTCTCACATTGTACTGAATGGTATCACTTGGATGTTTGCCTAAAGCGCTTGCTTTATAGATAGATGTCAAGCTCTTCTTTCCCTTTTACTTATCTATGTTATTTTTTATTTATTTTTTAAGGAAATACATTTTTACTTTAAAAGGAGGGAGGTGGAGAGGCAAAGAGTGTCGTGCTATGGGAACCTGAAGTCCAAAAGGGCTCACGCACACGTTCAGTAATTCCAAAGAAAACCAGCCAGAAATCGGGCCGTGAGAGGCCACAGTCATACGCTGCCCAGCTTGGGAGCACAGCATTCAACAGTGCGGGAGCCGACACCCAGCCCAGCCCGGAGCTCCCAGAATCCGCAGCTGCACTGGGCTCCCGTTCGTCCTTCTCACCTGATTCTACTTCCGATGTTTCTCAGGGAGGCAAGGCGAGGCCCATCCCAGGGCCACCCCGGGGAGGGCTGTGTCTCCCAGGGGAAGGACTGAGTCATGGGCCATCCCTGCAGAGAGACAGAGCCCTCCCATCTGCTGCTTCACTCCCCTGATGCGCACAACAGCCACGGTTGGGCCGGGCCAATGCGAGGAAGCTGGCGATAGGTCCAAGTCTCCCACCTAGGTGGCAGAGAGCCAAGCATTGGAGCCATCGCCTGCTGCCTCCCAGGGTCAGCATCAGCAGGAAGCTGGAACGGGGAGTAGAGCAGGCACTTGAACGTGAGCACTGCTGCATTGGACATGAGTATCCCAAACATAGCTTAACCACTGTGCACACGTCTAACATGCTCATCTATTTTAAAACATTGTTACAAGTGTCTCCATGTGAAAGACTAAGAGAGACAACATAAACTTTACTCAGTATTCTCTGTTGTAAACATACATTACTGCCACTCTTTCTGGTGGGATGCTCATCACATGCAAACCATTATCCCTGAATGATGGCTTATATTAAATCATTAAACCATGTTTCATCTCCACGGAGGCCTGTGTCAGACACAAGGGCTCATAGAACCTCCCAGATGTCCACTAAAGCCTTCGCCTTGTGCTCCTCGTCTGGTGTTTGTTTTCAACTAGAAAAGCACACAGAAATTCTCCTTTAGAAAATACTGGACAGGTGTTTCAAGATATTAAAATACGTTTTTATTTCCCAAAGAAAAGGACACCCTGGTGAAACTCCATTCTCATAAACAGTTTTGGTCAGAAAGTAAGATCTCCAGGGTTACCAACAGTTAGTTTGGGTTTGCTAGGCCCAAATCAGAGGATTAATCCTCGCTGTGAAAGAACACACCAAAATACCAACCAAAAAAAAATGGAAATCCATTTTCTTACGAAGACTTAAATTACTTAAAATCGGTTATAAAAATGTATTCATTAACAATTAGGAAATAATATTAATCATGAGCTATCAATTCTAAACTCTAAAATCAATTTGTAAAGCAGTTCCCCACACAGCCCTTTTCTGTTTGTGTTATCTCTATCCATATGCATGTATCTGTATATATTTGTATCTCTCTATATGTATGTGTGAGTGCCTATCTGTATGTATATGTGTGCCTGTAGATGCGTGTATCTGGAAGTGAATGTGTGTCTGCGTGTGTAAACTTCCATGTATGTGTTTGTGTATCCGTATGTGTGTATAAGTGTATCTATATTTACATGCACGTATGTAGCTGTATGTATGAGTGTAGATATATGTATCTGTATGTAAACATTTATGTGTAAATATATGTGTGTGTGAGTCATCAAGGAATAGAGACTCTCAGGTGGTGGCCACACCACCGTGGCAACTGAATTCCCCATGTTACAGCTTTGTTTTATGAAATCACATCTCTGTTTCCCAAAAAGATAATTCCATTGCAAATGAGGTCATGTCTCAAAACACGTTTTACTGCTCAATCTGTTACAGGGCCCTTTCACTTGTCACCTTTCCATGTGACGCTGCTGTATGTATCTCCTAGGCGTGCTTGTAGACTCTTTCACTGCTCCAGAAGGGTGAGTAAACACCCCAGCGTTCATGAAACGGGAACACTGAGTTTCCCCTCTGCTGGCTCCCTCCATATTTGAATAGAACCTCGCCTCCTTCCCTGGCCTGCAAGGCCTTATGTGATTCAGCCCTTGTTCCAGTCCCGCCTACCACACTCCGTTGCTCACTCTGCTCTAAGCGTCGTGAGGTCCTTGTCCCTTGGGCCACGCTTGTCCTCAAGGAGCCTCCTGGATTGCTCCTCTCACATACCCCCATGGCCCATCCACACTGAACTCATACCTGAGTTCAAATTTACCTTTGTAAGGAAATTAAATTGGCAAATAAAAGAGCTGGCTGCACCTCAATGTTTACTGCAGATCAGTTCTCAATAGCTAAGACCTGGAATCAACCTAAATGCCCATCAACAGAAGACTGGATAAAGAAATTATGGGATATGTACTCTATAGACTACTATACAGCAGTCAAAAACAATGACATCCGGTCATTTGCAACAAGATGGAGGAATCTGGAAAACATCATGCTGAGTGAAATAAGCCAGTCCCAAAGGGACAAATATCATATGTTCTCCCTGATTGGTGACAACTAACTGAGCACAAAAAGGAAACCTGTGAAGTGAAACAGACACTATGAGAAGCAGTGACTTGATCAGCCCTTGTCCTGACTGTTGAGGAACAACTTTTTATTTTATTCATTTTAGTATTTTTTTCATTCTACTTAATACCATTGCACTCTTTAGCACATAATTATTCTTAGGTGTTGAAATTTAACTGAAAAGTGATCCCTGTTAAATATGAGTGGGAATAAGAGAGGGAGGAGATGTACAGTTCAGTACATGCTCACTCAGACTTACCCCTAATGGTAGAGCTAGAAACGTGCCAGGGGATTCCAAATCAATCCCATCAAAGTAGCATGTACCAATGCCACCTTACTAGTCACAGTGATTGGTTTAAGTTCTTTTTTATTTTTTAAAGATTTTATTTATTTTATTTGAGAGTTAGAGTTACAGACAGTGAGAGGGAGAGACAGAAAGAAAGGTCTTCCTTCCGTTGGTTCACTCCCCAAATGGCTGCAACGGCCGGAGCTGAGCCGATCCAAAGTCAGGAGCCAGGAGCTTCTTCCTGGTCTCCCACTTGGGTGCAGGAGCCCAAGCACTTGGGCCATCTTCCACTGCTTTCCCAGGCAGCTGCAGAGAGCTGGACTGGAAGTGGAGCAGCTGGGACTACAACCGGTGCCCGTATGGGATGCTGGCGTCACAGGTGGAGGATTAACCTATTGAGCCACAGCGCTGGCCTCAAGTTTAAGTTCATAATTGATCATAATGATAGGATTAATTGTCAAAGGGATCACATAAACAAGACTAGTGACTGCTAATAGGCTAATCCTCCACCTTGTGGCGCCAGCACACCGGGTTCTAGTCCCGGTCGGGGCACTGGATTCTGTCCCGGTTGCCCCTCTTCCAGGCCAGCTCTCTGCTATGGCCCGGGAGGGCAGTGGAGGATGGCCCAAGTGCTTGGGCCCTGCACCCCATGGGAGACCAGGAGAAGCACCTGGCTCCTGCCTTCAGATCAGCGCTATGTGCCGGCTGCAGCGCCGGCTGCAGCGCGCCGGCCACGGCGGCCATTGGAGGGTGAACCAACGGCAAAAGGAAGACCTTTCTCTCTGTCTCTCTCTCTGTCCACTCTGCCTGTCAAAAAAAAAAAAAAAAAAAAAAGGACCCTTGGCTAAAAAAAGAATGGGATGGGAGAGGGAGTAGGAGATGGGATGGTTGTGGGTGGGAGAGAGGTTATATTTTGGAAATTTATATTTATTAAATAAAAGTTAAAAAAAAAACAAATTTACCTTTGTAAATCTGAGGGGTATTCTCTGGTCATCCTAAGACACGCTGCTCCCATGCCACACTCTCTATCCCTCTGGCCTATTCCATTTTTGTTTTATAGAACTTAACTGCACCTGAAATACACTTTCACTGATTTGTTTTCCATCCTACGCTCCATGAGAGGCCAATGCGATTTCATTCATCGTTGGATCCCCACGTCTGAGAATCACGCTCCTCACATAGTTGGTGGTTGACAAGAACCTGGGAGAAAAATGATTCCCACTATGACTAAAGGCTTTTATTTATTTATTTATTTATTTATTTATTTATTTAACAGGACGAGAGACAGATTCAGACAGACCAGAATGCGTTTCAATCCAGGAATCACTCCCCAAATGACCTCAACTGCTGGGGCTGGGCTGCAGCCAAAGTCAGGAACTGGAATGCCATCCAAGTCCCCAACATGGGTGACAGAAACCTGATTACTTCAGCCAGGAGTGCTGCCTCCCAGGGTCTACATTAGCAGGGAGTTGGAAAGAGGATTTGGAGCCAGGAAATCAAACCCAGGTACTCTGGTGTGGGACACAGGTGTCTTAACCAGTGCTTAACCACTTGGCAAAATGGACCTGCCTAAAGGCTTGTTTTTTTTTTTGTTTTTGTTTTTTTTTTTTTTTTTTTTTGACAGGCAGAGTGGACAGTGAGAGAGAGAGACAGAGAGAAAGGTCTTCCTTTGCCGTTGGTTCACCCTCCAATGGCCGCTGCAGCCGGCACATAGCGCTGATCTGAAGGCAGGAGCCAGGTGCTTTTCCTGGTCTCCCATGGGGTGCAGGGCCCAAGCACCTGGGCCATCCTCCACTGCACTCCCTGGCCACAGCAGAGGGCTGGCCTGGAAGAGGGGCAACCGGGACAGAATCCGGTGCCCCAGCCGGGACTAGAACCCGGTGTGCCGGCGCCGCAAGGCGGAGGATTAGCCTAGTGAGCCACGGCGCCGGCCTAAAGGCTTGTTTTTAAGCAATTCATCTTTAATGGAGATAATCAAGAATTCCCTGGGAATAGCATGGTCATGTGGAGGTATTTTTCAGGCAGGAGTAAAACCTATGCTTTACTAATCAAAGCCATGGTGGTTGGTGCTTTCTTTGCCAGTTCCCGAGAAAAGGATTACTTGCTACAATTTTCAAAAATCTTGTTTCACCTTGATTCAATGGATCACCTTTGTAAGCACTGATTAGTTGTT